AAAGTGTACAATGTAACGAATTCCCAATATATTCAACTAAATATACTAATGGTTAGTAAATATAACATATTTTTGTATTTGTACTGTAAACGATATTATTAAATATCTTAAAATAATCTTCTTTCTATGAAATATCTTAAAAGTATATTCTATATTCAAATTCATGTACAGTTGAAATTACTGTTAGGTACTAATCTTTAATATACAGTTTTAATTTATACCTACAATCTACATACGCATTATTTCTGCTCTTATCGTCAGGCTATCTTGTCTAATTTAATTATAAAGTTAACTAAAAGATGATTTTTAAATTTGAATATCATCTTCCATTCCTCGTGTGATATAATGACATTATATATTAAGAAAGATTTTTCACTTAAGTAAAATTATAATATAAAACCACAGTAACTTTTAAGTTTTAATACAATATAACAAATGGTAGCTAAATAATAGGATCATTTGCAAAAACTGACGAAACTTTTGTGCCGATGTTTTGAATACGCGACAATTGGTTGGCATAATCCCGTTAATCGGATTTAAAATGTCGTCTGACCTCAAACCTGCGCCACAGTTCTACAATAGAAGCAGTTGGTAATAAAAATTGTGTTATTCCACTTAAATTTCTACTTTATCCCCAAAGACAATTTGCAATTTAACCTAACTAAAGCTGAACTGCCTTGCGATTCTGTAACTCACTTTTCGAACACGCACAGCGGTTTTCGCAGCGGCGGTCGCGCTCAAATCAGCGTAAACAATATACTACAAGCTCCCTCCTTATCAGAATGCCAAATCGTAAAATGACTGCTTCACGACTGATTTGAGCGCGACCGCCGCTGCGAAAACCGCTGTGCGAGTTCGAAAAGTGAGTTACAGAATCGCAGGGCTGAAGTGACTTCGCCTATTGCGTACACAAAGTCGCATTCATTTTCTGAGTTGTGAAGTAACTAGTCAAATTATTTCGCATTCGTTAATAATATTTGTTGTGAGTTCTTTCGCGGATGACGCGGGCGGGAATTAAATCCCTAGTTTACGACGTCTCGTCTGTGTCTTAATAATTATTTATTATTAATACTACAGGCTAAAATTTAATTTCAATTTTTTTTTATTTACATGGTTTTAAAAAATCTTATAGTACGATCTTTAGTTTAGTTAGAATACAAATTTTCGCATGCTTCCTTTGTGATTACTGTTTTTAATTTCTTTGAAATAAGTTCCTAGTTGTTATGCATGTTGGAGAGCTAAGAAAATTGTTATGTTTTCAAAATAACTGCAAGTCCAGTTTCATAACCTTTTTGTGTAATTTAAGTGGAAAAAAATATCAAAATAGTAATGAAATAATATAGTTATTAGTCTCGCGTTTTTGAATTTGGACCAATAATTATTGTTTTAATAATCATAAATAACCAGTGTTTAACCTCTTTATAAATCAAAATCTTTGGTGCAAGCAGCGGCGAAATTTCCCTAGAAAACAGTGCGCAAATCCATAGATTCGTAACCAAACAGATTAAAGGCCAAAGGTGGCAATTTCGAATATAATGTTGTTAATGCTGCTACTTTAATAAATATGTAGGTATAAATTTTAATGATAATAACATGACTTCATTAAAAAAATGCATTTTCATTTGATGGCGTAGTCTTGCTCTTTCGCGAATTTCGTAAACGTTTTTGACATTTATAAGCATGCGCTAAGACGCATCTAAATAAACGTATTTTGATTTTGATTTGTAACAGAACTTATGGCCAGACTAGTTATACATATACAGTCAACCACGAGCCTTAAAACGAGCAATTCAATTCACAATTTCAGTATAGTTTTTCTAAATATTTTTTGCTAATGTGCTTCTAACAAAAAAAAATACCGTTATAATTATTCTGTCACTGAATCCTCAGTGATGGAGCTTACGGTCCATTCTGTTATATACCGTACAATACGAATAATCGGACTTTTTCAGCACAAAACTTTGAAACTAGGTCATCGTTTAGTGTTTAAGTTTAGATTGTAGTATTTTTATACAGTTGTTTTAGGCATAAATAAGAGCTTCGGTAATGAGAAAAATAAATTTGGCTTTTGCAAAGAAACGATGATAAAACAAAATATGTATTACAAAGTTGAGCTTTGAGTTTTCAGCAGAAGTTGGGAAAAAAGACATTTCCCACTTTGGTGCTTGACTGAGAAAATATTTTATAACGAATCTATGCTTCACATGCTGGATCCTCCAATAGCAACAGCGATGCAATAATCTAAGATTGTTTTGTTATGATGCGACAAAACAATCTGAGATTAGATTAAGTGCAAAATTTGTGGCAAGCTTAAGCATCTTTGCTTATTTTCTTATAAACGTCACAGAATTAAATCTAATATATAAAATTCTCGTGTCGCGGCGTTTGTGGTTAAACTCCTCCGAAACGGCTTGACCGATTCTCATGAAATTTTGTGTGCATATTGGGTATAACTGAGAATCAGACAACATCTATTTTTTATCCCCCTAAATGTTAAGGGTAGTCCACCCCTAAATATTTTTTTTTTTATTTTTAGATATTTTTTTTTGATATACATGGCAAAACGATTGGCATTGCCGGATCAGCTAGTCATCTATAGTTATAAAAGTGAATTTTCTCTTTTGTTTTTGAGAATTCGTATTGCTAAACTCGAGAATGGCTAGACCGATTCAGCTAATGATGATCTGAAACATTTGTAGAAGTTCAGGGAACGTTTAAACGGTAGGAATTACGAATAAATAAAGAAAAATACTTAAAACGGCAGTTGAATTTTCCAATAAAAACTGTTCCTAGTTGGAAAATATTTGATGTCTATTGTCTTTTTAGAAAAAAAAATTGTCACTTTGTTCATATGTTTAAAACCTTCAGAAATTGGTGTTTCATAGTTTTAGTATAAGGGCTGAGATCCGGGTCCTTTAGTTATATATAAAACAATATATCATGATGACAATTTACGTCTAACTAATATCTGGTTCTTAATTCTGGTTCTACTTGAATAATATGGTGATTGAAAAATTGTACACGTTGATTTTTGATAAAATCAACTATTTCATGAAATGATCAATTCTGCAATCGGACAATTCTGAAATGAAATGCCAATAGTTTGCAGGCGTTAACCGAAACAACTTGAATTTGTAGGAATAAATTCATCAATGATACAAAAAATATTAAACAACACAAATATTCTGTCATAACCTGTCGAGCTGTCCTTCAAATATAACCGTTTGCTTTTAGATACATTATTATTGATGCTTGTTTCATTTACGGATTCTTTTTTATTTCCACGACAGCTTTGCATTACAGAATCTCGGCCTGAAATACATTATTATTTTTTTATGATTTCACGTTTATGTCCCACGTGAAGTTAAAGAGAACTAATTTTGAGTATTTGAAATATCGATTATTGGCTTAGGTTTTTATTATAAAGTATATATAAAAAAATGTACCAAAGCAAATGAGACCAAGTTTTACGTTGTCAGGCACAGAAGGTTGTTCTATCAAAGAATGTACACTATACAGGCCTGACTATATATGAGGCCAAGACTTGTTAGATTTCCATCTTAAATTTAGTTGTCGACCGATATTTGAACGTCTAGATCAAAAAATCATCCTTTATTTCCTTATCTATATCTAATTACATAGAGTTTTAAGAGATAGATATACCTAGAAGTAAGAGCCAAAGTAAAAAAGTAAGGGCTAGGGTAATATAATATTGGATTTTGACACACGAGAGCCTAACTCTAAGTCTCGACTCTGAATAAATTTGATTTTATTTCTGAGTAAAGAATCAAAATTTGGGTTATACTTAGAAAATAAACGTCACTAGATTAAACATAGATATTTTACAGGACCTGTGTGACGCTTTTAATAGAGTTTATTTATAATTTCTGCGTTAAATCAGGTTTTTTAAATATTAGTGATACTTGAAGTATATATTAATTTATTTATATGATATTTTAAATAACCATTCAAATCTATTAAATTAGCTGGAGCCATTTTTAAAATAAATTTTAAAGGTTACCCACAGAGCGATAACAATCTGAACAGCTTGTTACATTACAAGAAGCTCTCAAAGTTAAGACGTAAAAATGTTATATGAAAAATTGTTAACTTCATCCATTTTGTATAATAATAAGTATCACGTTTTCAATTGTTAATAATTGGTTCATGATCAGTGTTGGCCTAGTCACTTCAGCGTACGATTCTCATCCCTGAGGTTGTAGATTCGATCCCCGTCTGTGCACCTATGGAGATTCTGTCAATGCGCATTTAACACTCGCTTAGGCATGCCTAGGGAACGACTAGGCATGCCTTAGACCCGAAACGTCGACGGCGTGTGTCAGACACCGAAGGCTCAAAAAGAAAAAAAAGAAATTATCTCGAATCCGATGATATGAATCTGATGGCCCAAACCTAAGAAGTTAAAGCGCCACTAGTGTTTAATAATTGTTTGTGTAAGACAAGCGTGTTGCGGATATTAATATTAAATTGAGTATATATTCATTAATTTGTGGGTAATGGCGATACACTATCACACCATCAAAAGCCGATCTAATCTTTTTCGTTGACTGTCGGTACAAATCACCACACTCGACGTTAATATTATCTAATATTAAATATTAAGCAGATATTGAGATATTTTAGTTTAAAGTGTTGATAACTATGTGACTGTATAATAGATCTTTCAAACCTTTTAATGCCTTTTAAATGGTTTATACACTCACTGTTACCGTTTATATGTGTGTTGTATATTGTCTATATATATATATATATATGTTATTATTATAGTATCGATTTTGAAATATCAGCGAATAATGTAAGAATAAAAAATACTTAGTAAATTTTTACTTTTGCCTCAGCGTTTTAGTATTAATATTAAAAAAGCCAGCTTCCGGTTCCGCCAACATAAATTGAATAAGACGCTAACTTAGTTTCCTTTGGAAAACAGAGTATCATGGGTCAGAAGCATATTATGTTGTATTATCTAAAAAGGAGTAATAATGGGTAAGATGAAATTTATGAATGGCAGCAAAAATTTAGTAACTTAGTATGGAATATATTATATAAGAACAGAAGTATAATGTAGGTACCGCAAGCGTGCCAAGTATAAGATACGCACATTGCAATGAGATACAAGGGCGACATTCGAGAAAAGTTCAGCAATTGCAATACTTTATTTATTAATTCCGTGTAAAATTACTTGTTCTAGGTATACTTTTATCTGTCTTGGGAATGATGGTTGCTGCTAATTTGGATTTGCCAAATAAAAAATATAGTGAACAGGAAGCGGAACTATTCCAAGAATTCTATTATAAAAGCGTTAACGATAGTCTGCCCCTACTGGAAGAGATCAAAGACTGCGACTGTCCAAGAATATATATGCCTGTATGTGCGTCTGATAATAAAACTTACACAAATCTATGTTGGATGAATTGTGCGGGTATTATAAGGAAATCGGAAATAAAGCTGGTGCAAATGGGACAGTGTGTATGGTTTTTAAGTCCATTTGATTATTGAATTTAAATAAAAATTTAGTTGTGCTCATTTGCTTTAACTGTTATTTATTTTATCCCCAAAACAGGCTTCTTCTTATAGTTCCATCTCCTTGCGAAGGTTGGCGATCATCATGGATTTAATTTTGGATGCCGCGCTTCTAAACAATGACTTGGTGCTTTGACCAAACCGTTGTCTTAAGTTTTTCAACCAAGACGTGCGGCTGCGGCCAGGTCTCCTTCCAACTACCACTTTGCCTTGTATTATTAGTTGAAGGAGCTCGTATATTTTTGGAGTTACTCAAGAGAAATACTCAAGCTTCCTTTTCTTAACCGTCATAAGCACTTCTTTCCTAATTATTGACAGATTACAGCTATATAGCAATATATATTATTTTATGGTGACTCTAAATATTAAATATAATTTAGTGTGTTAAATTCATAACTTTAATAAAGATCAGCTTAAGGCTAAGTATAATTGCAATACTTATTGGAGTATAGTGTCGTGTATCTTCTCTGAATATAACCGTCAAAATCAAGAGATATATTTAAAGCCACGCAACGCGGATTTGAATAAGATTTCAATAAATAGCTATTCCTGAAGGTTTATATGAATAATCTTTACATTATTTACATGTTTCGTCTTGAACGTCGCATCTAAAATATTGATTACAATTGTTGTTCCTTTCGTCTATCTAAGGCATTTTTATGACATTTTTATGTATAGCTTATTCGGACTAATATAAAAAGTACAATGATCAAACTAAATACTTAAATCTTTACGTTAGTTTTGTATTCGAATGCAATTATGATAGGTTGAAAATATCAAATTTTATATACAATCTTTAGAGAAGCACGAATTCTTTTATCGTCTTTACAAACATAATCTCAAGCCCGTCACAGACTTAGCTATAATATATATTAATATACCGTACTATAATATTTATTATAGCAAGCTACCACACACTGAGAAATATATATTTGGCCTTCATTTAATTGATGGTCGTCCTAATACCATAATATATAGTAATATGCAATAATGTATATTACGGTATCGCTTGGTGACGTCACAGAAATATATATTATAGCTAAGTGTGCCGTCACGCGAAAATTAGTATAGAAAATATATAGTAATATGCCTAGCCATAAAAATATTAATATATATTATAGCTAAGTCTGTGACGGGCTTAACGCTACTATGTTACAATTACTACATTCACTACTAATATAAATTTGTCTGAAAATAATTAGTAAAAATGCAATCATAATTTTATAAAATCTTTGCCTACCATTAAACCATTAACTTGTCATAATTTTACAAGCAATTAACTCCGCTAATGATTAATTAATTAACTAGTCAATAACATTGTCCACCGCATTTGTATCAGAAATTATATGAAAAATGGAAAAGGTATTCGGTAAGTATTTTTTCAGATTCTATGACTTTTTGAAGTATATTTATTAAAAACCTCATTATGATACTGGACAGTGGTATTTCAAAGCAAATAAATTAAAACAAAATTAAACTTGGGATGTATATTAATAATATTTTATTTTATTGGAGGTGTTTAAAATACAGATGCCGTAAGAAAATAAGAAGTTGACGCTCTTTTATTTTTAAGATGATATTTAAAATTTTAGCAAAATTCTTCTTTCTATCCATGATGGCGGCGGCCTTTTTCCTATCTCCCATGATAAGTGGGGCCAAAAAACAGGAAGGAGAGACCACTGCCAGCACGAGGTCATTAAAGGTTATTCTGCCATCCCTAAACTCGACCATGAACTGTACCGAGTGTCCAAACGTCTACTTTCCGGTTTGTACTACGACAAATATTACTTTCATTAATATATGCCAAATGAACTGCGTTCAAGAAGGGCATCAAATGGCGCGTCGCGGTATTTGTATCGAATTTTGATGTAACTGTTACAAATCAAATCAAATTTATGTTTTGTTTTACTTATTGCTATATATACCAATACCAATAATTAATTATATTATGTTTACAAACAACTTTTGAAGTTATTCAGAGTAAATTTTTACGATGACACCCTGAAGTTAGCTATAGAGTCCGCGCCACCACTGAATGCCGATAGACGCGGCGCTAGCGAGTACCGCGGCGTAGTAATATGTTGCTAGTGTTAGGTGCAAGGCCAATTTACCCCAACGTAACATAAATTAATATGATACTCTCCAAGATTTGCTTCTAATGTTTTACCTCAAAACGAATAAAATATAATTTCACTGTAACGATAAATAATTTAGTTCCATGGCGCGGACTATAGTCAACATTTTAGATTTTTCTATTGTTAATGTAGTTTTTTCTACAAACGAAGAGTAAAATTTTTGAAATGATTTTTATCTTGTTACACCAAAGAAAAAAAACTTCTAACACGTGTACATAAGTACACACACTTTTTTTAAGTTTGATAATATTGACACCCTAAGATGGGGTTATTTAGTATTATTACACACTTTATGTTACACACATGAGGTAATAATAAATGTATTTCTGTAATGTATTTAAACTTGTTATCTTTGAAGTTCAGGAGTATGTTGGTGGTTGAAGCGAGCGACTCTCATGCCTAATGTCGTTCGAGGCACGTGCATCGACGAATTTTTTTTCTGAGGTGTAAGATAATATCTTAGTCCCAAAAACCAAATTCAGATGTCTGATCACCTACTAAAAATATCAAATAAACCAAGGCAATGAGGAGCTTTTAATTAAATTATATTTAAGAGGTTTAGGGTCTTTACTACTTACTAGCTTGTACTGTTACGTCCTGCCCTATACATAACACTTATCATAAATTAACAAACTAAAATAGTACGTTATCAACAATACTGTATTAAAGATTGAGAACTGAGACTTTTTTAATTATTTTCTTTTCTATTCTTACAGTATCTTAATACTAATACAATAGAAAACTTATTAATACAAAATGTAAATATGAACATAATATTGCATATTAACAAATCAAGAGTACATTAAACCTAAACTTTTTTATAACGATTATGAATGATATCCTTGTTAACCATTATATTTATAAACTAACGAACGAACCATCCACTATTCTTCTTCTTCTTCTTCTTATAGTGCCATCTCCTTGCGAAGGTTGGCGATCATCATGGCTATTTTAATTTTGGATGCCGCGCTTCTAAACAATGACTTGGTGCTTTGACCAAACCATTGTCTCAAGTTTTTCAACCAGGACGTGCGTCTGCGGCCAGGTCTCCTTCTACCTGCCACTTTGCCTTGTATGATTAGTTGAATCCACTATTGTACATGTGATTAATTATATATCCTGTGATGTTAAAACAAAGAAAATTCTTACACCTACTTTATATTAAACCTAAACCTATTCATTTTTCTAGGCTTCATACAGCGCCAAACTACCTGATTAAGGCTCTATTCAAACCCATATTTACCGATTTCTTTTTATTTATCGCCCGCACGTCTCTTTAGATTTCTTTCGTTACGTTGAAATTTCTGTACCTTTAAGAAATGCTCTAGGCTTTATGAAATTCTTAGTTTAATAAAGGCATGGATGGTAGTAAAAGGAAAAATCATTTTGCCTTTTTCAAGTCGGTGCGAATTAAAAGCGAGGTTTAATCTTTTTACAGGGAACTACAATGTATTTTGAACTAGAAACTCGACGGTTTCATACGGGTAGCAGAGCATAAAACTCTTTTGCGGTGTGCGACATAAGACTTGCAGTCAGCTAAGGCTCTCAACAAATATAACGATAAAATATTTCAACTAAATAACGCAAAACAGTATTTAACATATAAATATAAAGCCTAGGTTAAGTATGCGTTCAAAACTCGTTACGTGCATGGTTTTTTTCTAATTGCATGCGCATTAATCGAAGAAAAAATTAATATGTGTAAGGCAGGAAGGGTGACCACTCAAAGACCGAACTTCCAAGAGTTCTTAATACACAAATCTTTACTCATTATAGCTTAAATAAATTCTTGTACTCAACTAAGCGCTTAGTAATAAGATGATTTTTCTTAACAAAAATATCATTAGGACACGAGAAAATCTAGCTCTCATAGCAATTTATAAAGATTCTCATTATGCAAGTCATATTTTATACTAAAAGAGACAGTTTCTCATCTTTCGTCAGGACGTACCTAATGATCTTAACGTATAATGGCAGAGTCTATATAGCATTACTTTATAAAATAGGGGAGATATTTCTATTACAAAAAAGCAATTAAAAAAAACGTCTCAACTTACCAGTAAGAATACGAATACGGGTATACGGGTCATAAATACGAATTTCAACGTCATCTATATATTTTTTATGTAAACAATACTTACTCATACAGCGAAGGTAAACAAAGCATCAGACTAAAGCAGATTTTTTTTAAAGAAGCAGGCTTAATTTATCTTTTGCCAATAGAAAGCCAGAATTTTTTGTGGTAATCAGATTTGCAAAGCAAGTCAGAAGAAAGCGGTTGAACAAAAACGTTTCTTACGAATGCTGCCTTAAAGATTACAGATATATGATGGAATTCTGGAGAAACGTTGGAGAGCTTGATAATGCCTACAAAAGACGTCATGAATCTACCTTTTATATTATATTACAAACAGTCCTCCGCCGCTTCTATTCGTCTGTTTATTTGCGAAATCTCAAAAACTACAGCACGGAAGTTATTGAAGTTTTAACCAATAATCATTGATAAGCAAGGATTAGGTTAATTTACGATTACCCGTGCCAATCCAGGGCGGTTTGCTCAGTTATATTTTCCATTTGAACAAAATAATATAAGTCTATCTAGCTTCTGATCTATACACGTCCATTTATCGAGTAGATTCTGTGGAACCGCTCTCGTCCCAAGTCCATTATTTATCTAAGCAATTTGTCTCAGTAATTCCCCAGTCTTTCTTCCGTTCAAATTAATATAGTTAACAAACCCGTATTCTCAGATTTATCTTGCGCTAACTAACGTGCCAGTCTTCAATCTAACCCAGATTTTATACGGGAAATTGTTTAACTTTGGTATTAGAAAATGTTGGGATGGTTTATCCTTAATGAAAAAACCTTTTCTTATATAACTTTTACACTATATTGGTATCATTAAATTCCTAAACACTGACAAGCTGGGATTCAGTGACAACCTATACGAAAATATTGATGACCAGCATTACTTGGCTTAATTAAGATAACACGATGTCTGAGTTTAAGGATATGTTCTCTTCGAAGCCAGAGTTACTTTATTGAGTGTTGCTTCAAAAACATCAGCATGTATCATCATCTTTGTGACTTGGTTCAAAGGTTAGAGAATTAAGTTTACTGTAACTTTGTGAATTCATATGCCATGTGCCTCAAAGTGGGCAGTGTTGGCCCTAGCGGCTTAAGCGTGTGACTCTTATCCCTGAGGTCGTAGGTTCAATGCCTAACTGTGCACCAGTAGTCTATTTGAATACATCGTGAAGAAAACGGCATGACTAAAACTCAAATAGTCAACGGCGTGTGTCAGGCACAGAAAGCTGATCCTACCACTTAATTGCCTATTAAAAGAAATAATCACGAAACAGATACACAAATCTGTGGCCCAGACTTAAAAGGTTGTAGCGCCACTTCTTTTTCATAAGCCGCAACACCGTTAAGTTTTTATAGTATTAAATTACATAAAATGTTTTCACTTTTCACTTCAGGAATATTACCTTTAAAATGTTGTACCCAACAGTATCTTGTCATAACTTAATAAAGGTATGAGAATTAGCAGAGAGACGAATTACAAGCGTCTCTTTGTAGTTAATTAACATTTCGTAATCATAGTCGCGGAAACAAAGCGAACGAGTGCAATAATCCACCCGTCGCCACCACATTTAATTACATCCGTGCTATACGAAATATAACATAAAACACGGGGTACAGACAAGAAAAAAGCGTTTAAATTCATCATTATTACGTAATTACGTTTTAAAACTTAGTAAAAATCTTTAACAGATATAAACACGACTTTGTTTTATTTTTATAACCAGAAGTTTAGAGTGTATAGATACTTAAGTTAACAGATTATTATGATTATGAAATCTATTGAGAAAGTCTATTGATAGCTACAAAATTGGTATTTTAAATTATCCCCTGAATGAACAATGGCTAATTGTTTCCCGTTCTATTTTAGTATGTCTTTTGTTTCATTATTTTATTCAATCCAAAGACTTCCCTGCCAATGTGATCCGAACATAATTGTTACGGTCCGCAATACAATCTTTAATTTACAAAGGATTTTTCAAGGGTTGTTGATACATAAAAATCCTTATTGGCTTATCGAGACCATGATATTTTCCTGCAAAAAGAAATGTAGTTTAAGACAATACCTGTGCATTATTAATTGACCTTCATTTTAGACTTATTGTACTGTAATCTGTGTATATTATTGTATATATTCCCATCCTACTAAAGAGGAGCATTATACGCTTTTAGTGTCGTTTTGTGCGACTTATCTGAATTACCTTAGTCTGACGCATAAGCATGGCGGAGTATCTGGGTATAAAACGTTACAAATTTATTTTTGAATTACGTAATTATTTGTAATAAGTTTATTAAAAATAACTGAATCTTATAGAAACAGCTAAACAAGTGTCCATAGTCGGCAGTGTTTACTCAACTCCCACTCCACCCGATTGTAAAACTTCAAAGCTCTTTAATGTGCTTGAAATAGGTAGACGTTAAATTGTAGGTTATACATTCATAAACTCCTGCCAATCTAGTAATTACGATTGCATGTTGGGCTTCATAAAGTTTATACCCCGTTCGCATGACGTAGCCGTTACGTCACTAACGGCATATCAGCAACTCGCTTATCTCAGCCTTAGGCGATTAACTCCAGTCTATTATGTAATCACTGAGAAGGTAATGATCCTCATTTCTCGCTAAATGATCACTTTCTTTATACGATCTTAGAGAAAAACCTTTTTCACTTGACTGCTCTGACAGTAACAGATGCTTATCGAGAATAATTCGTAATTTGAAATTGGAATCGAATTTTAATTGGATGAATTTTTAAATTAATTTATGCTGTGGTCGATTTGGAAAATGAAACGTCTTTGTTTTTATTCTCTTCTATAATTTATAGTTAGAGCGAAAGACTACATTTACGTGAAGAAAATTTAATAGAACCGTTTAAACAAGCGTTTGGTACAGTTTTAATCTACGAAACTGGTATTTAGAAATGCGTAGAACCTCGTTAAGTCGAACCTCGATAAGTCAAAAACCTCCAAATCTCGAAAAAATGTTTTGTTCCCTTCCCTTAAAACACCAAAACCTCCATTACTTGAAATCTTGACCCTCTGTTAATCGAAATAATCACCGAGTCCCTCCAAGCCATTTTGGTACATATTTTCACTCTATAACTCGAAAAATTAAATTTGACCTCTGTATCTCGAACATAGGAACGTTTTATTTTACAACCTTTACAACTTGATCATTTGGAATTTATTATCTCTATTGTTCGAACAAAAATAAGTTACCGACTTTAAGAACTTGCCGCCAATGTGAGTACACTATTGTTTCTTAGAAAACATTTTAGGAGTATACAATAATAAACTCTTTATGTCGAATCAAAATCCGCCTAAGTCGAAATCCTCCATAAGTTGAAAACTCTATAACTCGAATTTTTTGGCGTCTCCCTTGATGTTCGACTTATAGAGGTTCTACTTTCACGTATTTCTGACAATGAGTAAAATTTTTTAATAATTAGTTTCACGTATTTCTGACAATGAGTACAATTTTTTAATAATATAATCGTGATTTTTCAGCCGTCGTTGGTAAAGCCTATGGCGTTCAGCCCGAAAGGAGATCCTGGGCTCAGTTCCTAGCGATATACATAATAAAAGTTTATTTCTTAAAAATTTATGTCTTCGAATCGTCCAATAGATTAACTTAAGTTCAGATATTAATAAGTTCGCCATATCTAATCAGGAGATAAAGTAAGTCATTCTCTGATTTATGGTTTCTTAAAATAGTTAGAAAAACGTTATTTCGCTGATACACCGTTATAAAGAAACAATTTAACTAACATACTATATATGATGTGATGTGATGGCCTAGTCACTTCAGCATTTGAATCTCATCCCTGAGGTCATACGTTGAACCCCGGCTGTTCTCTAATACACTTTCTGTCTCTGTGCATTGAACACTCGTTCTTACGGTGATGGAAAACATCGTCCGGTATGCCTTAGACCCAAAGAGTCGACCGCGTGTGTAAGACACAGAAAGCTGATCACCTACTTGCTATTAAAAAGAACAAGGGATCACGGAGCAGATACAGAAATCCCAGACCCTGACCGTAAAATATTGTATAACCACTGGTTTTTATAGAATTCGATTAAGAAGATATAAAACTATATTATTAAAGCCAATAAAACTGCACTTCCACAGCTATAATTCCCCGTATTGATTAAAACATCTTATCTTCTATATAAGCAATTTCACGGAATAATTTATGACTTCTTAGTATTGATGTACAAGAAATTGTTTCTGTAAATAGAATAGAACTTAGTGCGATGTGTGGCTGTGGCTATGCGATAAGTATATGTCAGTGTTTTATTAATAAATATGGATATATAAAATATATGATTGATATAATGATTTGTTAATTTACTGATTTCTTAAGTTATAGGTTTTCTATAAAATATATCTTTTATGAATCCACTATTACCACTAAATAAATTGTTGAATAGGCAAGGCTAATCAGAGAATTTGTAAGCGTGTTTCTCAAACCTGAATCTGAATATCTTTTTCCACCATTAACAATTACTTGTAAAGGAAAACATCGGGAGTTCAAGTAATTCTTAGTCCCGAAAATCCACCATAGAACCAATGCAGAATGGAAGGTATCATAATAAAACACTATTTTGACCGGATTGAAGTTATGTATTATTATAAATTTACAACTATTTAACATAATTTTAAATTTATCCGACGTTTCGCGTGCTTTACAGCGTGCGTGGCCACGGTGACTGAAGACAAAAAGATGTTGAAGAGAAAAGAGCTGCAGAGAAAGTTGCATTATCTGTATTTATTTCCCCGGAGTTGGTATCGACTAAAAGATAGGGTTTTGGCAAAAATGGCTTACGGTGTCCTCTATTTTCGCGGATTGTTCTTTTAGAGATTTTAATTTGGATATTATTGGATCCCAGGTGTTTGACAATTTTAGGCCGTCTTCTCTATTGAAATTGGGGTGTTTTTTGATTTCAATGGCTTCGCGTACCAATCTTGGGAAGAATCTTTTCTCTTTCGCAAGTACTTTCGGTTGGTCAAAGCGTATGTAGTGATTAGGCCTATCTAGTATGTGTTCACAGACTGCTGATTTTGTGTGTCGTCTATGTCTTATGTCTGCAATGTGTTCTTTGAGTCTGCTGGACATATTGCGTTTAGTTTGCCCTATGTAAGACAGGCCACAGTCGCAATCCAGTTTGTATATACCTGCATCTTGCAATGGGGTGTTACTTTTGATTGGTCTTAGGAATTGCTGAATCTTCTTGTGCGGCTTGAAAATTGTATGAATAGAAGCTCGTTTTAGGATCCGGCTAATTCTATCTGTAACTCCCTTTACATATGGCAAGTAGGCTGGCTGGCGGGGAACTGTTTGTGTCTTGTTTTTGTTTTTGTGATGCAGCCGGGGGATGCGCAGCTTGTTTCGGTGTAGCACCTGTTTGACATGCTGTAGTTCCTCCTCGAGGTGGGCATCATCACAAAGACGTTGGGCTCTCTGAAACAAACATTTACCGACAGAAAGCAGTTGTGAAGGGTGGTGGTGGGATTCACCATTGAGGTACCTATCTGTGTGGGTTGCCTTCCTGTGTATTGTGTGACCTAGTGTGCCATCTGCTTTGCGTATAATTAAAATGTCTAAAAAAAAAGTCCGGTCAAAATAGTGTTTTATTAAATGAATAAAAGTTATGTTAATCAAAGACAATACTAGGTATCATAATATTATGCTGAAAATTTAAATTGACAATAATTTAATTTGAGTATTCAATATAGTTGCCTTCGAACGCGATACTCCGATTATAGCATTCATATAATTTTTCGATAAAAAATTTATAGTACAATTTGTCCTAGCCTCAAAATAGGCTTCAGTTTTGGCGATTACCTCTACATTATCGGAAAATTTCTTAGATAAGCTGTAGCGCCTAACGCAAGTGTAAGAAAATGTTTACGACAATTCTTTATTATATCAACTATGTTATTTTAGTCAATAATCCAATTAATAATGTCCGAATGTTTTGTTAATTATAAATAGAGCAAGAGCGATAATTTTTAATGAATTAAATAAAATACACGAGGATAATGGTACTCCAGAGAGCCTGGCTGAAAATTAGGAACACTTTACATAAGTCTAATTTTGCTAAGGGTATTATTTTACGTTAATCGCTTCGGAAACTTAAACACTCACCTTCACGTGGAAGTAATGAGATTAAAATTCTACCTTCGTAATTAACAATATTCTTTTTAGATTTCATGTACTATTTACTTCTATGTACGTCTTTTTCGATTACAGCGTGAATAATTGTACAGAAGAGATGAAAGAGTTTATAATTAATTTTTCCAAATAATGGGGCATAAGTAGAAATTAATATAGCTTTTTTTTACTTACTTTAAAGTAGAGCAAAGTAAGGCACACAATAGTGATATTTATATGAGAGAGTCACATTAAAAGAAAATATAACTTTTAAAAACTGCAGGTTTTCCATTTTTTTATAATTATATGTTTCATAACATCCTAAATAGATAACGATTTTCGTTGTCAGCTTTGTTTATAACAGACAAACTTTTATTCCGTGAAATATTTGCAGACATGGACCAAAAAATATTTCTTTATATAAAATATTTAAATTTCAGTTACCCTACTCTGCATATCACTGACATCAGGACTATGGCAGGAATCGATAGGAAGCCGTGTACTAAATGAAATCAACAACATTAAAGCTGGTCGTATGCTTAGAGAGAGGTACTTACTATTAATAATTAAATAACTTTACTAACTCTAGTAGTTAGGTAAGTTATTTCAGCTTAGAAGCTGATTTAAGAACGAAAATCGAACACAAATTTGGATTACTTTTTCACTAACCGTGTACTGTCTAAAGTTCCACTTAGAACACTTCAGACCTTCAGAACCTACTTTAATAAAGACATTCCAAATAGTATCCCACTCTCATCTTGAGAACTGAAAGAACTTCATACCATACCATACCATTGAAATTCATTTTGTTCTAGAATACCGTAAGTCGATTCGAGTATACTCCTCCCTCAAAGGCCGGCAACGCACCCACTAAAAATGGGCTGCGATGACTGCCCTTTTTAGGCGTCCCGCAGGCTCGTTTGCCCCCCTATTATATAAAAAAATATATAATCCAAAGCCAAAACGTAATACGTAATTCTTTTAAACAAAAGTATTTATTAGACTTAAGTTTGGAAGTTATATGAGGTGACGAGCCTCCTGCGCCTGCTTTCATGATATTGTGGTCGTAGATAGAGACTGTACTTGTACATTTTCCCGCACATATGTCGACTATAATTATAATCTTTATATATATAATTCTTCTGTGAGTGTTATGTCACTGAACTTCTCTCAAACGACTGGACCGATTTTGATGAAATTTTTTGTGTGTGTTCAAGGGGATCTGGGAATGGTTTAGATTCACAAATCAGCGCGGCAGATGGCACTGCAGTCGGTACTTTCATACTTTGCTTAATATCCTAATCGCTTAAAATATCATGCAGGACAACGTCTGTGGGGTCCACTAGTACATTATATTGTTATTTATAGGAATGAAACATCGCAAGAAGTTAAACCGCGTTGTGTTTGTTCAAAAATATACGACCCGGTATGTGCTTCAAATAACAAGTCATACTATAACATATGCCATATGGAGTGTGAGAACGAGCCAAATACCGTTTTTGTCGTACATCAAGGGAACTGCATACCATACTAGAAGATAAAAATTTGTAGCAAAAATAATTCAATTGTTTTTCTCTCCGCATTTTGCTGCTTTCGTGGATATTTTCATTTAAAAAACTTACGCAAGGCTTCAACTTTGTGTTTATAATTTGATTAAAATTGTTTATTCTCAATATAAATGTCAGTTATATCAATTTAAACTTCTTTTTTTTCTTACAAAAAAGTTCACAAAAAAATGAGTGCGACTTTACATGAATTAGAATCTAGCCTATACAATAATTATGGCTAATAAGTAATATAATGTTGACTTAATTTTCTGCAATACTAATGAATAGCTTAAACTAAGGTAATGTTCATTAATAGTCTTAGTGTTCTATAAGAATTTGACACTATGTTCATGTCTCCGAGATACCGCACTTGCACTTATATTCACTTAGTACACTTATCAACTCAACTTCACACTCTCAACGTCACTTTAAACTGACATCAAATAATTTTAGGCTCCGAATTATTCGATCATTAAAGATATTTCTTTTTTCAATACTTTTGTTAATTAGGTTAATGGTACTCTACCGGTGGTCGTACAATCGTATTGCGGTTTTCCACCTGAATGCATTTTACTCTTTATTAACGCAATTACACTTAATCCTCACGATCTTCTTCGTACCGGCACCTACCTTCTGTATTAGTAATTCGAAACAAATGCCGAGAATAACAGACGAAATCACGAAATAGTTTAAATATGTACAATCACTATTGTTATTCGTTATTTTCCATTAAGTAATTTCAATCAATTCGTTTTTCAATTAATTCAAACATCAAATATTTATACAGGTCCAAAATGGCTTATGGTTGACCGCAATAAAAAAAAATAATCGCTTGCCATATGTTACGGAAAATTAGCACGATATTTTTTATTCTGCACGTGAATGTTGACATACTCATTTGTTTCAACGTGCCGTTTTAAATATTTTATTCGCACAATAACGTTTATTGTATTTTGCCTCTTTGGTATCAATTTATCTTTTACATTTTTTACTTGTCCCCAACGGTCTTATTTTATAAAGTATTTCGTAACATTTTTTACCAATTAAAGTTCAAAAGTTGTTTTTGACATTTTGTGTTAAGCTGGGCGGGTAATAGATACATCATTCATATATTTATGATTTATATAATCAGTCTTTATCTACTTTTTTGTTAGTTCGTTGACTGAAAATGCCTGTTATTTTAAAAATGGATTTTTATTCCATTCTATTAAATTTAGAACATAACGTTTATTTAAGAAAACGTAAAACTGCCTTAAAGTTTTGATCATAAAGTGTTACGTTAACGTAACGTTACGGGTCTTTGTTGATCATTATAACAAATCCTATAATGAAAACCAAGATCAATTAAGAAGACATTATAACTACCGAAAAAACATTATAGTTACCTTAACAGTGTATTACTTAAATTTGTGACAAAAAACGAGTAATAAACATCGCCAACGCGCTGTTGTGATCTAGCCACGATTTTCACGGGTTTCTCCATAACAGCTGTGCTAAGGGCCACCAATTTATGCCAACAAACTATGCGTAGAGACATCAATAGTAGAGCAGCAGGCACCTTACAGTAATGCGACTCTTAGCAATGTCGTCTGGGAAGAAAATAGAAAAGTATGTGAAAATTTATTGACATTCTTTCAAAAATCTAATCAATGTTTTATATAAAATTATATCATGAAATGTCGTTTGCATCGCCGTTACGTGCGTCGTTGCCATATTTCCTGAACACCTCGATACACACAGCTGCGAAGATTTAGAAGCCTGCGATGTGATCGAGCCATGATTGTTCTGTTTCGTATAAATATTAAAACTAATTAGGTGAAGTGCTACTGTAGATAAGCTTACAAACGAAGTAGAGCATTTTTATATTGAAATACACTTTTTGTAGGGTACATTGTTGTACTCTATCAGTAGTCTAATTTCTTTGTCTATCATATATTCAAAACTGGTGAAAAAGAAACTAAAATTGCTAGATTTGGCTTTGACATTAAATTACACGTGACGTGACATATAATGACAATGACAGCTGACGTAACGTCATTGCTGCTACATATACATCGGATTGAGGTTTATAGATTTATGGACTTTGATATTAGTTGCTTATGAGAAAATACAATATGAAAAAAAATATTTTAAACCAATATTTTTGCTAAAAAGCAAAAACTGCCTAAATCTGTGCCATTAGAAACACTATCCCTTTCCTACCCTATTTTTACGTTAATGATTTACAATAATAATTATGACTTACTATTTTTAAATGTTTGACTTTCTATTTTACAGAAAAAAAATTAACCTTAAAGGCCGTAGGTCCAACATTCGTTTCCTAAAGTCTTTTACGTTTTATTATAAATTGCTCCTCCATCCTTCGATCGATCAACGGCTCACTGTTCCAACTCAATGGATTGAGATAAATATACTCTATTCATACACTGCATTTCAGATATCGCACGTTAAAAAATACTGATACTACGACGAAGAAAAATTTCATTTTTAAAAATAGAACTAAAACCATATATTTTTTCCATAAACAAGCTTCATTCTGTTATGTACGTTATCACGTTCAACGCCTATAGCACAGACATACGTTGATCCAAATGGAAATTGTATATTAGGTTGCTGGATGATAGAATTAGGGTATTGTCATTTACAAATTTAAAAAAAATATCGTGGCGAGGATCTAAATTCCAAATACCATCCGTGATTTTTAAGAATATTTATATTATTATTATATTTATATTATTTTAACAAAACCATTATAATTTAGAGGCTATGCAAATATGTGTTATTAATTCGTTGAAATGAAAATCTGAGAATGAAATCCTGAAAATTGTATATATTGTATATGCTTAAAAATTAAAATCGGTAAGATTAAGCAAGCTGTTGAAAACACAAAATATTGTGATTTGAGTATCGCATATATTACACAAATTTAACTAGGCCAAACGATTTTAACAGTTTCTTACCAGTAATTTCATAAATTATAAAAAAATATTTGTGAAAATATGTAAAAATATAACAAATAATTAACATTTAAAGAAAAAACTTTTTAACCGGATTAAAGTTATGTATTATTATAAATTTACAATTATTTAACATAATTTTAAATTTATCAGATTTATAAATAATTAACAGATAAACAGTTCTACATCAACAGCGAAACAGCTGCTTTTTTTTTAATTCACTCAAAGGTCACAAATCTGTCCCTAAAGTGAGCTCTGAAAACAATATTTAAAAATGGATATCAAGCAAGATTTGTCAACCCTACTTCATTACCAATAAATATCAAAGACGGTAGCTCAAAAGGTATTCATCGTTTAATAAATTCTTCATAATGTGAAATTCTGAATATAGAAAATTATCACGTCATTTTCCGAGGGGAATGTCATTAAATGTGTATTGAATATCATTTACATCTATTTATTTGAGGTCCTTTGATGAATATTTTATTATTCTCAAAGGCGAGAACCTTTTCCATGATTTTGTATATCTCATGGCTTATCCGATTGACAATTTTATTAGAACGCATAATATATTGATATATACATCTATTTAAATACTTTACAGAAGGGAAAAAGGTGTTTTTTATACTCGTAGACTCGTATAGATAAAACTTTAGGCAAGTTTAGCCATAATTATTTTATACTTAGCCACAGTAATTTATTAAAAGTTTTACTTCAGCCGCTTTGCAAAGTTTTAAATATGCTTACTATAGATTCAACTTACATAAATTAAAATTCATAGCTAGTGCAGTTATTTATATATAAACAATATACAAATAATTTATGTTTCTAATTATTGTTGTTATTGTTTCAAACAGTCAATTTTTTAGCAAAAGAACCTAATTTTATAAATTACAAAGGTTTTTTTTACATAACTCTTATTTTCACATAAAATAAAAGAACCTTACAAAATTGCGTTTAATTGGAATATGTTAAACCTAAGTAAACACTCTGTTTAATGGTAATTATTATCTTATTTAAACAGAGTTCACCGAACCTTATAACACAATTATTGTGGTTTTCACATTATATGGAATGATTTATTGTGTCTGGAAACTTACCTGTAACGATATTTATTTCAAGAGAACAATTCAGAAATTAAATTACAACCAGCAACTACATTCAAAAGAAGATAACTGTTTATTATATTTCGTATCGAAATAAATTATAATATTATTAGATACTCGTTCTATTGAGTAATAATATTGTATGGCAATAAAACTACTTACTTTGTTCATCTTTTGTATTGTGTTTAAATGAAATATGCGTTGACTGAGACTATAAAGTCGGCGGTTATTTTCATTAGAATTGTAGCAGATTCAACGATGTAATATCAGAAATATTAACCTTTAAATGCAACTTGATTCTTTTAAAATATAATTTGTTTTTAATTCAATTTTACAGATAATTTTTCATCTGCAGCGAGCATAAAAACTACCACTATGGCATAACGAATGCAAAATGTAACCAAAATGAAAATCTGCAATTCTCATACTTATTTTATTTTGTTAACGTCAAAACTCTTGAAGCGTTTTAAGCTGCATTTCGTGTTCTAGGTCTAGTAGGGAAGGCTCTTATAGTGAGAGGCCTTCAGTTTGAGATACAGGTAAAGTACGTTTAGCAAAAAATTCATATCTCCAAGAAAAGAGCCAATATTTTGACGAAAATTTCTTTAAGGTTCACATTATATAACACTTGAACCGCTGCTACTTATATTACTAAGACATATTAGTTTTAATAAATTAATCACCTATATTATATTCCTTTGATTTCCTGACACCCGATGGACCATAAGGGCGACCCGGTGGGGAGGCCCTATTGGGAAACGAAACAGAGGAAGACCGCTCACGAGATGCGCGGATGATATTACTAAAACGGCTGGTTCGAGCTGGATGCAACTCACCCAAAACCGAGATACCTGGAGATCCTTGGAGGAGGCCTCCACCTGCGGAAAGGTTTTAACAAAATAATAAGAAATAGATATAAAAATA